TGAGATACAGAGACGGTTTTTTGCATCAGCTCAAATTATGCAAAGGAATAGTATATAACTAAGGTGGTGAGAAAGTTAATGGTAAGGGAATAACTGAATGGCAAATTTAATAGAACGGTGCACGATAGTGTCATCATCAATTTCTCCGACCTCTTAGCGTGAGAAAAATTTCGAGCGGGAACATAATTTTAGAACCGAATAACGATAGCCGATTTCTGTGCCAGTAGCTTAGTATGTTCCGACAACACTGTTTTCGGACCAGAAGTTTCAGACCAGTTTTTCAAACTTAGCGACAACTTTTTTTTTCAAAATACTTATCACGACCATTGGGGCCCTTATTTTTTTACCCTTGCGATCACCAATGATAATGCAATTGGATTCTAGATTTTTTCACCGTAATTTTTTATTTCACCGTTCACAGCATGGTCAAAATTAGAAATGGTAATTTTAGGACCAAGTCATAACAGATTCAAATTTCTTTGCGTCTCAGGTTAACTTGCTCTGGAGGCAACGAATACGCCTGGGAGTTTTCAAGTATTTCAAGTATTTTTTTTTCTCAATTTTCAAGATAATAAAATAGCTCATGTTTTCCCGGTTTTTAAGCTCGCCAAAATTTTCTGTTAGAAAAAAAATAGTTTGAAATAGAAAAAAATGCATAATATTTTCATTTTTTTGATACCAGCTTTCTGATTTGTTTTATTTCTGAAAATGCTCTGATTTAGATCTTAATTCTTTGGATTGATCAATATTATTTGATATCGATTCAAGTTGACGGTATAGCGTAATGTTTTCATATGTCACAACTTATCGAGAAAATGTCATAAATTTTGTTTTCATTTTTTGCCTTTCTGTCATGACTGTTTCGTCTATGAAGATAAATGGCAAGTGTCGCACGAAATTCAAGAGTGTGATTTGGTTCGGCTGATTTTTTTTTTGAAAAAAAAAAACATGAAGTTTTTCTATTTTTTGTTACTGGCGTTTTTGTCTTCTTTCTTGTCATCTAGGTCTCTTAACGTTGCGTATTAGCTCATATTTGATAAGTTTGATGTAATTGGGTTTGTGTAAATTTTCTGCATCTTATTTTTTTTTGAACGTTTAGCATTCTTTTTTTTCAATTTTTATTTTAGTATGTAGCAAATTTTCCTATTCCTGCTGTAGGATAAGTAGGTTGTTTGGTTGAAAGAATTACAGCAACTTTTTTGAGTTCAACATTTCTAAACTATTGTTTATGAAAAAGAATTTTATCATCAGTTTCTATAAAAAAGAATTTGTTTATTCAATCTATTGTTTATGAAAAGGAAATGAATGGAGTTGGTTTAGCCTGAACTCTTCTCATGTTTTAGGTAATTGATTTTTATATTAATCTATTATATATTTAAATGCGGTCTTCACTATCTCGCCATGTTTAAGCTTTTTCAACGTATTATTTTTGCATGTTTAAGCTATATCGTATATTGCAATGGTTAAGATTTTTTTTTTCGATTTTCCAGTTTGATTTTAGTGGTTTTTTCACCGAGTTTAAAATAAGCAGTACAATATTGGGATGCTGTCCGGATTCACCAAGGGGTTGCGAATTGGGCCTCCAATTTTGAATGGCCAAATTTTTTTTAGTTAACGAGATAAGACGATTTTGGTGATTTTTTCAAAATTTTTCAGAAAACTCAAATTACGAAATGACTTTTAAAACTTGAAGTTTTTAACCCTGTTGTTGGGTACTGTCAGTACTATTAAGGATTGCGAATCTTGCCTCCAATCATGACTGCTCAAATCCTTGTAGTTTTCGAGATATGACGTTTTTTGTGATTTTTTTCAAAAATTTTCAGGAAACTCAAATTAATTATTTTTCAAAATTTGAAATTCCCAACCCTGTAGTTAGGTGCTGTCAGGGTACTCCAAGAAGTTGCAAATCTTGCCTCCAAATATGACTGTTCAAATCCTTGTAGTTTTCGAGATGTGACGTTTTTTGTGATTTTTCTTTAAAAATTTCAGAACATTTAAGTGTTTTTTTTTTCGTAATTTGAAATTCCTAACTTTGTAGTTCAGTGCTCTCAGGGCAATCTCAGGAATTACAAATCTTGCCACATGCGACTACTCAAATACGACTGCTCAAATGCTTTTAGTTTCCGAGATGTGACTTTTTTTTGATTTTTTTTTCAAAATTTCTCCAAGAAATTATCTACAAAGAAATTTGCAAAATTTGAAACTACCAACTTGATGAAGACACAACCTTATTGTCAGCGTATACCCAGGCGTGGCAAATCTTGCCTCTAAATATCAATGCTCAAATCCATTTAGTTTCCGAGCTAAGACTTTTTTATGATTTAATCAATTTTTGTCGGGAATCTTAAGTTCAAAAAATTCACTTAAATTGAAATTCCCAACCGTATTGTAGGGTGCTATCAGGGGCTCTCAGTGGGTGCAAATCTGGCCTCCAAATTTCTCCAGAGGCCTATTAAGTTTTTATGGTTTTAAGATGACGCTTTCATGGTTTTTCAAAATGGGAATTAAAAAAATTTAAAAGTTTGAAATTACCAACCCTGTAATTGGGTGAAGTCAGAGTACACTAAAAGTTTGCAGATTTTTTTTCCAATAAATGCGGTTTTTCACGAGCGGTTTAAAAAATTCGAAGCACCGGAGGTGCGTTAAATGCTAGTTGTAATTAATTCTTTCCTGGTTTTGTAGCTTACAATTTTCTCAACATTATTTTATCAAGTCTTTCCCTTTTCCTTTGAGACACAAAAATTGTCAATAATCAAAAGATGATGTGTCTCAAACGATGAGCGAAAAAATCGTTGACTAAAAAATTAGGAAACATTTTTTAGACAATTAATAGAAAAAGCAATTACCTACAACATAAAAAGTATTTAGGCTACACAAGCTCCTCTTGTCCAACTACAAATCAGATTATTAATGTCATTGTTGTATAATTTATGCATTTCAAAAATGTAATTTACTTTTTCGATTTAAAGTTTGCTAATTAGCTTAAAATAATATTTTTGGTCCTTTCTGTGGTCATGTAAATATATTTTTTTGTTTTTGTGTAACTTCATTCAGAACATGAAGTGTTGTTAACCAAGTTCTTATCGTAAAAATTCACAAAGAGTTATCGTCTGATTTACTATTTTGTACGGCCGTCTAATTTGCTTGTCTAATTTTCTAGGCGGCACCTTCGAGCTTTCTTAAATATAAAAGTAGCCGACGCCATAGGTCCTTCTCATGGTGAAATTTTTGCTACACAAACAAAAACGGGAAAGCAACTTTTTGTTCGCTCAAATATACCCATGTACCACAAAAGAATTTGATATACGGGTCGGATGATATTGCATGTTTTAAACATCTTGGCTTTGATTCAGCTGTAATTACGCTTGCGATTAGCACTCCCCATTCACATGCACTCTCCACTCACGTGCTGTCAAGCTGAATCTCCGGCAAACTTGACACAGAGGTAACAAGAACGTAATAACTAGTTACTGCAGGGTAGCTTTATGGGGACATGAAAATTTTGAAACTTTTTTTATACACAATTCAGTTTTTTTTCAGTCAGCCTTCAAAATTTTGATCAATATTTCTGGTTTTTTCGTTTTTTCAAAAAGTAACTTTTCAAATCTGAAATTTGAGCTGCAATGAATAGATCGGACTTGAAAAGCCTCCATCCATCAGCGGCTGCGCCCAACTTTTTTTTAAGACAAACAATTATGTCCCACGAAAAAGTCAAATTTTTGATTTTTTGAATATTTTTTTGAATCTTTCTCGAAAACTAACCTCCTAATTCTGAGATTGTGGGTTCGATTGAGATAACGGGTCGTGAGAAGCTCCCCAGCATTAGCGACCGCTCACAATTTTTTACAAAAAACTTGTCTTCCTTGGAAAAGTCAATTTTTTTAGCGTTTTTTTAAGTTTTATGAACTTCCGGAAAATTCACTCTCATATCTGAGAACTGGTTCAGTCTATAGAACTGTTTGTAGGGTTGTAGCAAGCTTCTTTGAATACGCGAATGCACCCAAATTTTTTGACCTGTAAAAGTAAGGCCCTCGGAAAACTCAAAATTTTGATTTTTTGATCGTTTTTTGACTTTTCTCGAGAACTACCATATAGAGAATCAATCGAAATTTTATGTTGGATGAATATTTTCTGCGGAAGCGGCTACGCCCATTTTCTTTAAACAAAGCTTTGATTCTCGGAAATGTCAATTTTCTGATTTGTTGTCGGTTTTTTGCACTTTTTTCGACAACTGCCCTGCCAAATCTGATATCATAGATTTAATCGACACAATAGATTGTTGAAAGCCTTCAAATATAATTTACTGCGTCCAGTTTTTATTGAAAAAATATGGTCACTAGCTAGTGAAGGTTTTGGAACTTTGACCGCTTATTGGAAGTTTTTTGACTACTCGAAACTTACCGTGCCAATTCTAAGTTTAAGTGTTCAATGTTTTCAATCGCTCAGCCCGATTTTGGAAATCTTCTCTACTTTACCGGCCACGAACTGGTTTTTGCCTTAAAAATATTACTGGTTTTGGAAAGTCAAATGTTTGAACTTTGAACAAGTTGTAGAAACCTTTTCAATTTTCCTATCAAAATCTACTTAAAACTACCCTATCAAAATCTAAGAAAAAATTCAATGGAATGAAGCAGTTTCGGTATTTTTTCCTGCAAAAGCGGTTACTCTTTTGTAGGAGAAAGGTCAAGCTTGTGTGAAAATTTCAAAATCTTAAAATTTTTCATCTTCTCACTTATTTTAGTAGAGAAACAACTAAGGTTTTGGGCTTCAGCTGGGTCCCAGGCGGCTTTCATCGATACATACGAAAAATTTGGTTCACCCATTTTTTGACACAATTTTTATTATTATATTTTGGTTATGCTTTCTTGATTGTGTTGTATCGAAGTGTTAAAATTGGATTGTACATGATTCAATTTTGATTTTTCTTTTTATCTGTCCTTGAACGATAATCGGCGAGCTTAAGATGATGAGAAGTCATTGGACCATCAACTTTCACAATGATGACTTTTCTGTAAATTGGTTTTTCCTGGTTGAGTTTTTTTGCATGTAACCAAGGAACGTAATTCTTAGGATTTTTGAATAATCTTAATATTTTTGGATTTTTTTTGAAATTTTCTAAAGTATTTGCTGAGTATTTAAGATTTTTTATTTAAAAAGGTGAAGTGCTGATGTTCAAAAATTCTATCATTTCTCAAGGCCGCTCAAGTTTTCATAGAACTAAATCGACCAAAGATTTTGTGATATGAAAGGTTCCTTGGGTTATTGACAAGGTTTTTTTCTGGCGATATCTTTCTCGTTATCCCTCAGTTCGTACCTGAATCAACTTTTTGCTGCTCCTATGCAAATTGTCTCTCTAAGTGTCAAAACTCATAGACCAACTTCAACTCTCGTTTTAATAGAGACTCTAAACAACCAGTGTCGGCACAGTGGGAGTTCGAAGCTGAGAAGGAAGCCTCCCGCCAGTTTGTATCATCTGTGACGACGCCTCGACCACTGACGAAGAAAACAGTGACAGAGTCTGGACACATTGAACAGTTATGCAGCTGGAGAAATGTGGGATCCAGGTCTAACCTGGGGTCAGTAAACATAGTTAAATTAAAACAAAACACGGCAGAAAAAGGACCCCGAACTATTTCAGTTCAGATCTATAGTCTTTGAAAAGTTATAATTTTTCGAAAGAAGTTTTAACAATTGATATCGCAGAATAGCGTTTAAATAAGAACATTTTGAGAAATTGCCCGCGGAACTTTAAAATTTTGACCTCATATTTTGTGAATATTTGAACGAGAGCGGAAAAACTACGAAACAACTAGAATACAGTCGACCTCATGTTTTTTTTTAATGAAGGTCGTCAAGAGTGAAGACTGTTTCCACTCCAGGCACCAGCTCAGTTAACCGCTCCGAGAAGACCATCGAGTTCTCACCAACAGTCATCGTCGCAGTTACTCAAGGTTCGTATCAATTTTCAGAATTTTTATATCCTTAACCTATCTATACTATATTTTTAACCTATCTATGTCTATACTATATTTAAATGCGTGTGACAGCTATCTCCCATGTTTAAGCATAATAATTTTGCAAGCTTAACGAAAGATTTTTTTTCACGTTGAAGCTATATCATATTTTGCATTATTTAAGAAAATTTTTCGCTGAACTTTCCGCCAGGTCATTAATTTTTCATCAATTGTTTTCGAGTTCAACTGAAGTCCTGCTTTTTCATCTGCTTTTTAATCTATCTATACCTGCTTTTTGTATATCTGTTTCTTGTGTTTACCTGCTTTTTCATCTATCTATTATTTTTTGAATATTTAAATGCGGGCTTCGCTCTATCGCCATGCTTAAACTTTTTCAACGTAATTTTTTGGCTTGTTTAACAAAAGAAGTTTTGCACGTCTAAGTTATATCGTATATTGCAATTCTTACAATTTTTTTTTCAATTTTCTAGCTTAAATTCAGTGTTGATTTCATCAAGTTTGAAATAAGCAACCCAATCGTGGGATGAAGTCAGGGTTTTCCCAGGTTTTGCGAGATTCTGGCCTCCATGTATGAATAAAAAATCCTTTTAGTTTACGAGATACGGCAATTTTCGAGATTTAAAAAAAAGTTCTAGGAAATTTAATTAAAATTTTATCTTTTCACTTTATTGAAATTCTCACCCTGTTTTTGTGCGCTGTCAGGGTACTCTCAGAGGTTGAGAATCTTGCCTCCAAATCTCACTTCTCAATTCCTAGATAGTACTTGGAAAAAAAACTTAGATTTTATTAAATTCCAGAACCTTGAAGATCTCAATCCTGTTGTTGGATATTGTGAGGGTACATTCAGTTGTTGCGAGTTTTGCCTCCAGATATGACTGCTCAAATCCGTGTAGTTTTCGTAATATGATGTTTTTGGGATTTTTTCAAAAATTTTCAAAAAAAATCGATATAAAAAAAATCCAAATCTTTGAAAATCTCAATCCTGTTGCTGGAAATCGTGAGGAATTCTGAGCAGTTGCAAATATTGCTTGTGAATATGGCTGCTCAAATCCTTGTAGTTTTCGATAGTTTTCGAGATATGATATTTTTTTTGATTTGTTCAAACATTTTCAAAAAGAAAATTAGATTTAAAATCTCAAACCCGTTGTTGTAATTTGTGAGGGTACTCTCAGGGGGTTGTGAATCTTATTTCTGATTATGACTGCTTAAAACCTTGTAGTTTTTGAGATATGACGTTTTTTGGGATTTTTTCAAAAAATTTTTATGAAAATTAATTTTTTCTTCTTCAAATTGATATTCCTAACCTGTACTTGGAGACTGTCAGAGTAATCTCAGGGGTTGCGACTTCGGCTTCCATTTAAGAATGCTCAAATCTTTTTAATTTAAGAGGTACGACGATTTCCATAATTTCTTTGGAAATTTGTCCGAAAATTCAAATTAAAAAATAGTTCACAAAAGTGAAATACCCAACCCTGTAGTTGTGTCACAGGTTGCGAAGATTGCCTTCAAATAAGACTGCTCAAATTATGGTAGATTTCGAGATTGGATTTCTTTTTGTGGTTTTCAAAAAATACTTTTTTTTTAGAAAACTCACGGTTGAAGTTTCTCAAAAATTGAGTTTCCCAACGCTGTAGTTGGGTACTGTAAGAGTACTCTCATGAGTTGAAAATCGTGCATCCAAATACGACTGCTCATGGCGATGAGGTACAAGGCAGGGTAGGGAAAAGCTAGGCCGGACGGAAAAAAGTGGTGATGAAGGGCAAACCAGGGTAGGTAGTGCAAGGCAAGGCAGGGTGAGGAGTGGCAAGGCAGGGCAGCGCAAGTCAGGCAAGCGCTAGGCAGGGTAGTGCAGGGCGAGAAGAGGTAGGACAGGGGAGTGCAAAAGAGAGCATGGCCGGCAGAGGAGAGGCAAGAATTGGGTAGGGCAAAGAGGGGCAAGACAAGGCAGGGCATGGCCAGGAAGGACAAGGCAGGGTAGGACAGTGCAAGGCCAGGTAGGGTTGTGTAACGCCAGGCCAAGCAACGGGTGTCAGAGCAGTGCAATGCAAGGCTTTGTATGGCTGCTGAGAGTTGGGCAACAAGGGGACTGGCAAGGCAGAACAAGGCAAATTAAGGAAGGTTTGGGTCCATCCAGCCATTTAATCTTGCATCCAGTTAGCCATCTAATCAGTCATCCAATCATGCAGCAATCTACCCATCCATCGATCAAGCCATTTATTCACAAAACTTTTTTTCCATCTATCCGTTCTAACCGTTCAGCCATCTAAACAATCATGCAATCACCCCCTTCTTCTATCCATTCATCAAGCCATCCGCCATCTCACTAAGTCATACATCCATCTAGCCATCCATCGTCCATCAATCCGACCAGCCTTTTTCAAGCCATATATCCATCCCTCCGTCAATCTATCCTTCTAGCCAAGCATACAGTCAGTCAGCCATATATTTACATGGCCACCGATACATTCCGCCATCTAGCCATGTATCCATCTAGCCAACCAGCAAGACATGTATCCAGCTTGCAATCCATCATCTATCCCTCCATTATCTGCCCAGCTATCCATCTGTTCAGTTACCCATACACTCATTCATCCTGTCATCTATCCATCCAGCCGTCTATCCAACTATCGATCTGGCCATCCAATAAACGATAATCCATTCATCATTTCTTCTAACCGTCAAATCATTCATCCGTTCATCCCTCCAACCAGCAATCAATCAAGCTATACATTCAACCATCCCAGCCAGGAGGGACAAAGCAGGGTAGGACAGCGCAAGGCATAACAAGTCGAGGGGCAGTGAAGCGCCGGGTTGGGCAGCGCAGGGCCGGTTAGGGTTGTGTAAAGCCAGGCAGAGCAAAGGAAGGCAGAGCAGTAGAAGGCAAGGCATTATATGGATGCTTATGGTTGGGCAACGAGGAGAATGGCAAGAGAGGACAGACTCATGTCCATCCAGCCATTTAGTCATGCATCATCTAAACAATCGTCCAATCACCGCTTCTTCTATCCATTCATCAAGTTATCCATCTATCGAGCCATCCATTATCTATCTAATCATTCCATTACGCTATCCGTCAAGAAATCCATCAATCTAGCCACCCATCGTCTATCCCTTCAGTATCTATCAAATCATCCATCTGATCAGTTACCCATCCATCCATCCAACCGTCTATCCAACTATCGATCCTGCCATCTATCAAACCATCATCCATTCGTGAGTACTTCTAGCTGTCAGTTCACTCATCCGTTCATCCATGCTACCAGCAATCGATCAAGCTATTTATCCAATCAGCCGCTTTCACTACCATCGAGGCATCTGTCCATCCTTCAAGACATCTATCTATCTATGCTTCATCCGTTCATCCGACCAGCATTTCTTATAGCCATCCATCGCGCATCAATCCAATCAGCGTGCCTTCTATCCGTCTATCCCCAAGTCATCCGTCTTTTCAGCCAGCCATGAACTCATTCATCCTTCCATCCATTGTCGAACCGTCCATACACGGCGTTATCATGTACCTAATCAACCTGCATTTCATCGGGTCATTTGTTCATCTAGCCACTCATCGTTCATCCATGCAACCTGCAATCCATCCATCCATCTATCTATCCAGCCAGTCAGATATCGATCGATCCAACCAGCCAAATAGTTCGTCCCTCCAGCAACACATCGTCCATCCATGGATCCAACAATCAATTTAGTCAAATATCTATCCATCTTTACGTCCAGCCATCCCTCCATCTAGCCATCGATCCGTACATTTATCCAGCCATCTTTCCATTGTTTCTGTCATGCAACCATCTATTCCATTCATTCAGCCACCCTTCAATTCATTCATGCATCAGCCAATCTTCCCGGAGTTCATCTAGTCAGCCCTCCCTCCATAGATCCATTCATCAGCTATCAATCCAATCATCCATTGATACATCTAGCTAACCACCCATTCAGCCATATAAGTTTGCTCCTGAGTTTTTCTTCATGATAAATGCTTCCCATTTTCAGGAGCAGCGTGAGCTGCTGAGGGCCGCTAGTAGTTTGTTATATCCTCAAATTAGACGGTTGAGTACACTGCATAATTAAAACAATTCAAACATAGGAATTGTTTCAATTATGCAGTGTTGGTGGCGTTTCAAGAGAACATTTCATAGCCCCAGCCCCACAAAATCATACAATAGTTTTCATCCTCAAACTTTGTAGCACAACATTTTGTGAGCCACGATGCAGTAAGTTTCTTAGGTTCGAGGTACATTATAGTATTGATGGCGGGTGATAAACCAAAACCCATCCCAGGCATTAACCCAAAAATGCATATAGATCCAGCCAGCGTTGCAGCAGAAATTATCAGAGTTGAGCTGAATAGTTGGTATATTGGTCGTTTTTTCCCCTCGTAGATAAACAGTTTAATTGGAACAGTAACCTGATTCAACAGAAATAATCATTCCCCTATTAACTACGATATTATTCGAGAGTTATTCTCCGCTTGATTTTTGTGTTGTAGGAAGGGGCACTGCTCAAGGTGAAGTGGGCGTGGCAGCTATTGACTGTGAGTTCCCGAGTGTTGAATTGTTCCAGTTCAGCGATGTGCCTATCTACAACTCCCTTGTGGCCATTCTCCATTCGCTGCACCCATTGAAGATCATCCTTCCTTCAACCCTCTTTCCTCATGCTTCGTCTCATTCCTCTACGTCTTCTTATAATCTCGTCTGCCTTCTCAATACTCATTTCCCATCTGTCCAGGTTGAGTCGTTTGATCGCAAGTTCTTCAACGAGAACCAGGGACTGGGTAATTTTTACGCCATTGAATGGCAACTGAAATGGCAAAATCACACCCAACGTAGACCCCACACCCAATAGCCAAACATTTGATCAAAACTTTACCAGTACGCTATATAGATACACTATAGTTACCACTTTTGAGCTGTGCATCTAGGTTGTTGTTTGGTGTTTTCATTCGTGTTTAAGTATTTATTATTTCGATGACCTCAAGATATAAACAAAAATTAAGATAGGACAATATGCATTCTTAATATTTTTCGTTAAAGTTTGAGTGTAGTTATTTGGTTGACCTTTTTAGCTGACATTCGGCGCCTCTGTCATGCAGAATTCAAGGCTCAAGTGCTAGTTGAAGTTAGAGAGAAGTTCTACTGCCTGTCCGCTCTAGCAGCTGTAGTTAAGTATGCTGAGTTCGTGCAGAGGGTGCTTTATCACGCGCAATCTTTGGCATTCTCTTTTGCCACCAATAGACATTGTCTTCATATTCCGCATTCCTCGGCTACGGACCTGGAACTGCTGAGACCCCTAGGACAACGCAAGTCGCTTCACAGGTCAACTTCACTATTTATACAAAATTCTCAATTATAATTATCATTTACTGCACAATTTTTTGATGGTCTCATAATGCCGACCGCAGTGCATCTTGTTGATGTACGGTGAAAATTGAGGTCAAGAAAGCTTTTAGAATTTTATAGAAGACTTTACCTCTTTGGAAACCTTTGCGTGATTTTGTTAATTGTGCTCATATTCAGTCTTAGGAAAATAATCCCATTTGGCGAAAAATTGTTCTGTAATTTTTTTATGGAACTTTGATTTCGAACGTGTTAACTTACCTCCTCCTTTTTGATTTCTCACCAAAACAACTGAGTTCTTCGAGTTGCATTTATTTTTTGAAAGATTCTCTTACGAGTGCGAAGCAAAACTGGAATGAGTTTATCCTAGCTCTCCTCCGCTCGCAAGTTTTGGCTTTAAAGGGTTGAAAATAGAGTTGGTATGTTTAACACGGATCGGGCGGGGGACTCACAACCTAAATAAAATTACTATAAACTTTTTTAGATGATCTTTCTCGGGGTGGACCGAGGTTACATTTCATAGAGTAGGTTCAGATTGAGTCCACCGTCTGTTTGTCACGCTATATGTTTTGGCCGGATAGTTTCGTGCAATTATGATTTGTTAGTAATAAATACTGTTCAATCAGAATAAAAAATAAGAAGCACTCATACAAATGAATCGGGTTGCATTCTGCTCTGTTCTTTTCATTGAACTTATGAGCTGATTTAAGTGGTAACTGCATTTTTATGTGCCCTTCTCTCTTCCCGGATCTCGTCTAGCGTTTGATGCGATTTTTAAAATTCGATCTGATGTCCATATCAGCTGTGTTTGAAAGCTTGCCTAGTTCAATGAGACGAATTTGACAAGAAAACTGTTTAGTAGCCGGTCACTTGATAATGTGAAGATTTTCGAATATCATCCTTAGGGTTTTTTCTACTTAAGTGAGCTAGCGAGTGCAGTGTCATAGTGTGAATCTATTTTTCTTCAACCAACTCTCACAGATCAAGGAACGTGGGACTCCTTATCTTCTACAGTTAGGAGGTTCAATATGCTGCGGTTGTCACTTTTATATCTGTGTTATTTATTTTTGATGGCTTTACATGGCTTTATTTGATGGCTTCTGTGTTATATTTTGCTGCATAGCATTGGCAATTTTTTTTAGCATATGTAGACCCTTTGTTGGCGGCTGGCGTTGGAGAGTTTTCAAGGGCACATAGCGCAGATTCGAGTATGTGAAACTCGAGGTCGGAGGTTTGAATCCGTCATATAGCAAAAGTTCAATCTTTCAAAGCTTATTTGGTTTCTTATTTCGTTCCACTTTCCAGGGATACTTTTTGTCGTTTTCTCGCCTGTGTGGTTGTTTTCTACTTCCATCCATATTTAACCTTGCGATAAGCAAGGGTATTGCAATCGCTTTCTAGACTTTTTTCTCCCGTAAATTACATCGTTCACGGGACTCATCCCCTGGACTGATTCATCTAGTGAGCTTTTCTGTTGCAATAGACTAATTTGCTGCCTGTTATTATTATTCGGCCTCATAGATTGCTTCTTTCATGGTAATTGTAATTTCACCAACTCGAATGGTTAAATTTTCTGTGTTTTTTGTCTTTCTTTTTCATCCTAATAGTTCGGCTTGTTTACACTTGTGAATCAAAGTGTATTCGTACGAATTTTCTCTTTTTTCCAACCTAAATTGTTAAGGAAAGTGCTACTTTTGGTGGCTTTTTTGAATCGGTAGGCTTTGACATTTGATAAGTAAAAAATTAACACAGTTGATGTATTTTTAATTGATTAAATGAACCGAAAAAAATTATTGTTTCAAACAGAGGTACAATGATAAAAAGCTCGATTTCAGAAATTTCCATCTCAATGTGTCCCGAATTTTTTTTTCGAAATGCATAATTTGTACATAATTTGGCTTTATGCTTCCCAAATTATTACATGCAAAATTGGGTCTTCTTGTATTTGCTGCTTCGAATTTGCAACTTATTAGCATATGAAGCTCCGGTATTGGTGGCTAGCTTTTGGGTTTGAGCATTCGTGGCTGAGTGGTTAGTGCGTGAGACTCAAATTTTACTAGGTCGCAGATTCGAATCCGACTTTCAGTCGAGTTTTTGCTAATTCGAGGCCTATTTCTACTTTTTCTTATTTCACTTGATAGAGCTGCTTTTTGTTCGTGTTTTCGCAAGTGTGTGCGAAGCGCAGCTTCGCTTCTGTGTTTTTATTGATTTAGTGGTCTCTTATTGTTTCGTTTCAGGACCGAATTGCGTGTGTGTGTTCTTAAGGGAAAGGAGACTTGAAATTGTTGTTATTAATTTATAATTTTTTGCTTTGCTGCGGTATTTTCGGACTTGTTACTGCTTGATAACTGTATGTCCGAAATAAATTGCCAGCCAGCGCATTTGGTGTACAGCTAACACAACAGCTTGAGACAAAAAAAACAGCTTGCTGGAATTTGAGTTCCTTTTTTCGGAATTGTCCAGCAATTATATAATTTTTCTGGGTTATTTATTTTGTTTTTGATTTGTCGTTCCGTGATTATAGTTTTCTTTTTTTTTGCATCGCAATTGGTGCTCTGCTTTGCCTGTGTGTTGAAATTTTGCATTTACCCAATTGTTTTACTTGTGATTATGACTGAATGCATGATTTTACAATGAAAGATATGGAACAATTACCAGATGAAAATACCCATTCAAAATTCCCAAAGATACAACCTCCATAGGACTAAATAACCCACAAAAAAACTCCCGCTTTTAATTTAATTTTCGCAGATTAAATCAGTATTTATATTAAGAGTGATTATAAATTAAAGATTAAGGGGCTTAAAACTATTTTATTTTGATTTCTTTCAAATCAAATGACATGAGTCACCTTCGTCCTGTCCTGACTTTTTAAATTGCACAACGCTTTTTGACAGTTATATAGTCACTTTGAACGTTTTTCTACGGTTTGCGAAGTGCTGCTTTTCTGTGTTTACTTATTTAGCTTGCATTCTAGGTACCGGTAAGATCAGCATATCGAAACCGAAGTTTGCCATGTCATTTTAACTTTAGTGTGGCCTGATACATTTTTTTTGTTTTAGCCTCTTTGGCTTCCTGAATTGTTGCAAGACTCCTGGCGGACAGAGACTACTCCGCACTAACATCCTTGTTCCTCCCAAGGATCTAAACACAATCGCAGACAGACAACAAGTTAGTCATTGATACAACTTTCTCGCAGAGACATGCTTTTTAAAGGTCATTTATGAGGACAGATGGTAAGCTAGTATTGCTAAAGAAAAGAAAGAAAGAATAAATTTCTCCGGTCATTCATTACATAAATTTGGCAATTCATCGTTATAAGTAATTATTAAAATGAGACACAAACGCCTACCCTAGCTATGCATGCTTCTTTCACTATCAGGAAAAGATTTTTTTTAATGTTTTTTTAGAATTTGTTGAAAATTTGTAATTTCATCCATATGCTAGATTCAACTCGAAGATAATCGACTTTGTGACTGTAAAGTTTTTTCGGAATGTCGATGAGTTTTTTCGGTAATATAATTTTTGCATCCCTTATGGTGAGTGCACCTCCAGGATCCGACAGGAATACACTCTATCAAATTGACACATTGGGCTCGTCCTCGGTAGTAACCTATATTAAGGAAGATCTAGCAAAAATGAGCATTCTTTTATTGTCCTGAGGACTTTAACGCAGGAGTAGGTACAGAGACTAGTGCTGTCATGCCGCGAGGCGATTGTCACCAGCCTTGACGAGCGGCTATTTGAGACTTGGAGCAAAAATGCAACTGGAGGGTTTTTTAAGTGCCCTCTCATATATGCCTTATGGTCTGCCGTGATTTGAAAATAGAGGAATTGAACGCAGTCCTGAAGAAATCCATGGGCTGAACCTGAAACTCGATAGCTCAATTACCAGTGCCAGCGTCTAACTTGTAAAAAAAATAATACTCAAAATTTTACGAGGTTCTAGCTCAAAAAGCTGAAATTCAATCCGGCAGCTCTGAATTTCAATCAAAAGCGAAATGTAGAATTGGAGAGATCACTAGCTGTCAAAAGCAAAGTGTACGGAAAAGTTGGCTGCGAACCTTAGACCTAGACCTTGGCTGGCTCTGCTCGATATGAAGAGTGAATGATGGAACCGAAAGTAAAACACAGACAGATAATTCAGTTCACAGAAAGCTTGGCTTTCGTCCTCTGAACGTTCTCTGCGGGCTAGGAAACCGCATCAGAAGATTTGAGAAAAAAAAGATTCTTAAGCATCTCAGAAACTACCACAATGCATAAGACAATAGCAGTTCGAGCCAATCAGTTGCGTTTAAAATCATTTTTCTCAAACCCACCAATGCACCTTCAACGCAAGGATCGGGAAAGACTAAGAATGAAAATAGGACGAAATCAAAATCAATAGCACCATTGAGATCAGTAAGGATCTCAATCAAACTCAGAGATACAAGTGTGAGCGTCCAATGAGAGTGTCAGTGCCCAAAATGACCAAGAAAATTCATAATGCGGGTGGGCATACAAAAGCGCAGCTCGTAGATACATGCTGGGTCGTACCGCCGTCAACAGCCTGTTCTTCTAGACCCGATATCGATCGTAATTGGGAATCTAGCGTTCCATATGACAATTTCTCAAGTCTGTGGGCTAAATACCAGCGATTAGAGAAGCTTAGAGCTCCATCAGCGGAAGTGGCACTTATTAGATCCATGTCAATTTTTCTTTTACCCTCGCTTATTGGTTTGTCTCCTCGCCTTGAAAGTCAAAAGTAAACAAGAGTGGCTATTTGCTGTGGAAGCCACACAAAAAGTTTCGACCTCAATAAAAAACATTTCAAGTAGTTTTTTGCAACCTCGTGTAATGTTTTGTGCATGGAGTGATGAGAGGAACAAGAGTAAATATTAAACATATAAAAGACATTATTGAAAATAGTTTGGAGTCTTTTTTTTTATTTTGTTTTAGAACTTGTTATTACCAAAAAAAAATTCGACAGAAAGTTTTTTAAAATCTTACGAATCACGGCTGAAAGGTGTTCAATATAATAGACCCATTCCGTTGAATCATTTGGTAAGTGATTTTGCGTGGTTCATCCCCAATTTCAGTGTTTGAAACAATTAAAACTTTTGCAGTCGTTTGTTCTGAACCCATTGTTTTTTGTGATTGAATGTAACTCATAGATAGCTCGGATAAATTTGAGTTTGGAATCGTATCAAAGCTCATTCGGTCGTCATTCCAGTTTCGAAATGATTTTTTTTCTGTAGGTTTGATTTTTTCAGATTATTTAACGTTCTCTTCTTTTGAGTAAAATTGTTATTGTGCTATTAGTTACGCAGCTGCTGCATTTCCTGGAAGCCCCGATTATCAAAACAGAATTTTTTATGTTAACATTAAAAATTTTCGAAAGAAGGTCATATTCGAAAGATGCTGTTAGAGTTTGTTGTTATTTAATCCATTCGATTTTTTAAATTTCATCTTCGTTTTTCTTATTTTCGGCTTGATAGTTTTTCGGCTTTTGTTATATTGGTTTAGTGGCCTCATGTAGCGCCGTTTGTCGTGCGAAAAAAGTTACTGCGTGTGTGTGTGTGTGAGTTTTGAGGTGGAGGGGGCTTATAACTTTTTCATCTTTTGTTTCTTTTGCTCGACTTAGTAGGTTGCGACCTATATTCTAACGGCTCAGTGGCCTCATATTATTGCAATTTACGAGAGATTTAAGTTTTGGTGTGTGTTTTGAGGGCGAGGCGTGCATAATAAATTTTTATAAATCTTAAGTTTTGCTGAATTTGTTTCGGGTTAAAGGGTTTCTGCCAAGGTAATTTTTGGCTTGGTTACTTCTTGGCAAAGTTTTTCCGAAACTAACAACACATTCTTTTAACGTGGAATGTTTTTTGTTTCAAAACTAGCCTCATTTATCTTGATAGATCTAGTGTTTTCGACATTTTTTTTTCGATTTAGCGTTTTTGTGTTTTATATCGCTAGTGATGTGAAGCTCCGCTCTGCTCTCGTTAATTTTATTTGAAATTATTTTTCACGGAGAATCAGGTACCACAGAAAATCATCGGATTGAATCGAGTGATATTTATTTTAAGCTCAAGTTGCCCAAATTTTGAAGCTTGCTTTCAATTTTTTCAGCTAGACAAGTTATTGCAATGGCTAGTGTCTTCGAAATAATTGCGCTTTTTGCAACAGAAACAGTTCCTTGTGTTAAGTTTTAAATTATTGTTCTTTTTTACGCAAGCGGAGTGTAGTTTATTATTTTGAAGATTTTTTTTTTCTAAACTAAGTCGCAATTAAAAGTGCTCATTGGTGGCCTTTTTGGTATATTTCAATTTATGTTGTCCTATTTAAGCATAAGATGTTCAAAAGCATATGTTGCTGCTTTATTTTCGGATATTGTTAGGTCCTGTTTGAAGAAAAAAAACTGGTATTATGAAAATGTATGGGTTTTTTGTTTTTTGTCTTTTTTTGCGAAACTTTGGAAGTTTCATTTTTCCTATGTTCTTGCCAGTTTTTTCATTTTCTCAAATTTCACAAGCACAAATCTGAGCTGAAGGTTTCAATCAAAAGAAAAAGATATAGGGATCTTTCGTTCTCAAGCGGTCATACCCTCATTTTGGTAGAAAAAAGTTATGGCCTCAAACAAGCCTTTTTTTGACATTTTTTTTAATTTTCAAAAACTTTTCTAATTTTCTCAAAAACTACCATGCCAAATTGGAGATAAAGGGTTTAACCGAAAGAAAGGCTATCAGCTTTGGGAATTTTCCTTGCGCAAGTGGCTATGAACAAAATTATGGCCTTAGAAAATTTCCAGTTTTTGATTGTTTGCCCCTTCTTGGAAATTTATTCTTTTTTTTTCTAAAACTAACCTGCTAATTTTGAGGATGATAGTTCATTCAATTTATCATGGTGTTCAAATTTTTCCTGTGCAATCTGTTTTACCCTAAATATTTAGGAGCAAAAATTTATGGATTTAAGAAAAGTCAATTTTTTGTGTAGTCAATTGTTTAAAATTACGTATTTCTGTATCAGTAAATATAGCATTGAAAAAATTAAAACAGGTGGATCCAGCGTCAGTTGGGCCACTAGCTTACTTCCAAGCGACTGTGGCACAAATGCGAGGACGCGAGACTCCTAATCAACAGGCCGGAGATTCAAATCTAGAACATTGAAATAGTTTTATTTTTTTGTCCAAGTTTTGCTGCGTAGCATTGGCAATTTTAAAGAAACTGTAGCTGTTTTATTGATGGCTAGAATTACGACAATTATAAGTGGTCGTAGAGCAGATGTGAGAACTTGATAATCCTTATATCACTTTCAAAAATTCTCAAGATATTTTTAATCTTTGCCACTTTGTTTTCCCTGTTTAAAGCTCTTTTTTTTGCATTTTCCTCGCTTGTATTTACGAAGCGCAGCTTGGTGTCTGTGTAAAATAAAAGTGTCGAATAAAGAGATATTAGACATTGTTCCAGTTCTGTGAACGGTTGCAATTTTAAAATTCTTTCTGGAAGCAATGTTTTGTTGACTTACGCCGCAAGCTTTACCTAATACAATTTTGATGGCTGATTTGCTTATTAGTTGATATCGTTGTTATTAATTTGTCTCATAGGCAGCTCTTTAGAAAAAATGATGCATTTAAGGCTTACATATGAATAGCTTTTAACTTTCTTTTGTTTGCGTCTGAAAACATAGATATCAGTTTTTCTGAATTTTTTTTTGGGATCAGTAGTATTATTTGTTTTTGTTTAAGAATCGATGAACGTAGTTCAGACTTTACTGTAGGTCGCGATGACTTTTTTTTGGTTTTTTTTCAGAAATGGTCTTAAATTTTGTTCCGGCTCATTCATTTTTTCGAGGTTTGATTTTTGATTTCTTTTTAAGTTCAGTTCGTTTCCTGTGTTAAAAGGAAGGCAAACTGTACTATCGAACAGCAAAAGTGTAAAGGACACGAAAAACGTGATGGATTTCTAGGAATTTAATTTTCAGGTTTCGCAGCGAAATGAAAAATTTACCTATTGATTTAGTTTTCTCAAATTGGGCCCATTTTTTCAAAAACTACCAATCATAAATTCTTCAAGAAATTCAAAGAGCTTCAAATAGATCTTTCTATAGTCTTGAAATTCAAAAATTGAGGTTTTTAATAATGTAAGGCGGTCTTTTTTCTGTTTATTGCCTTCATTCGCTCTTTTCCAACTGTCTATTGGCTACATTTGTTAAATTTCAGTGGCCTTCATTCACTCTTTTCCAACTGTCTGTTGGCTATGTTTTGTAAATTTCTTTGGTAGTGATCATCACTAATTATCTGCAGTCCGATTTTGAAAGGAGTTAACGTAGTCGAGTAAAATCTTCCGAAAAACAGATTACATCTGGTTAAATAGTTTCAAAACAACAGTTTTGCAGTAATCAAGTTTTAAAAACTTTTGAAAAACCTAAATTGTCAGTGTAAAAAGTTCGCAAGTTTAAAAAGCTAAATAATTAGTGTTTTCATAGGCTGTGTTGTTTTTTCTCAAGAACTTCTTTGGACAATCATTTTTTGAACACTTCGTGTGCTCATCAAATTTATATTTCATTTTTTTTGGAAATATGAAATCCTTAAAGTTTGTTTTATATCGTTTATTTTTGAACCGTAAGCTCAACCGTTACAAGCTTATGATTCTAAATCAGATTTAACCGGAGTTGTTTGTTGCTTTTTCCGTAACTGTTCAATGAATTAAAAATTGTCAAAAAGTTTCCAACCGAGTTAGCAAAAAAATTTAAATAATTTTAAAACTAAATCAAACAATAAATAACAGCTTGCGATGTCATTTTGAAGATAAATGAAAGTCAACAGGTTTTGTTTGTGGAAACCAACGAGCGTAGTTAGAGATACTGAATGCCTTATCCTTACCGTAAAACACTACATGAACCTGCGCTCATCCTACGTATTATGCCTCCTGCCACCTGTGCAATCACCCCTGAAGAACAATACTCGATACAACTGACCCCTAGACGACTGAAACGTTCATTCAAACGCCCCAATGCCAATACGGGCCTCCTCAATGACTTGTTCGACACTAACTACAACATCGACAAAGAGTCAAAATCTCATGTTCCTAACAAAGTATTCCACATTTGAGCAGTTGCCAGTTACGTTGAAACTGTCCCCAAAACCGAAATATTCACCAAAAATCCACAATGATCTCCCCAAATGAGGTCTCAGAAAGGGCTGTTTCAGCCTCGCTAAACTACGCTCCGCCTTTTTCTTCAGTACTTCTACGCCCTTCTCCTTTAGTACTATCTAAACTGATTTGATTCAAGTGTCTCTAATGATTGTACACAGTGCTTAAACAGCCCTCACGATACCAACCATCTCTTTCAATGTCCCCAAAACCTCTTTTTAAATTGGACTAGACCTCCCGCACGTCAGCCAAACTCGCTCCTGATGACCAGTGTCGGCTCAATGTCGGCTCATAGCTTCGTCTATGAAACCAAAACCGTTCCTCTGTCTCGTGTTGTTTTCCTCTGCCTGGTGTTTTTTGTACACTTCTTCCAATTGTCCTTGGAAGCAAATACGGTTTAGATGACATAAAACACCACCACTATAGCTCTGTTGCCATTTGGCCATTTGGCACCGAAAGCGACGCGACAACCAGAATCCTTAAATAGCTCAATTACTGAAGTTTGGGGCCCCACTTCTACACAGAGGCACCCCGTTGGAGGGGTAGAAGCCGCAGTGGGAGACTTGGGCGAGACGACGAAACGAACAATATTCCACCCCTGGTACTGAAAACAGCCAAAACGAAGCCATCAACTTTCTCAGAAGAGATATACTAAAGTGTCAACCATTCCGGACAAAACTCAAACTATTCAAAACGATATCAGATCGAAAAGACAAAAGCTTCCTTAGAGGAGCTTTTTTTAGCTTGTAAACCTTGTTCTTAGTAAGGTTTAAAACTGTAAAAAGTGGATTTTCGGAATAATTTTTGTTAAGTTTTAATGAGCACATAGTTTTTTTTTTAAATTTAGTTTGCCTGATTTTCTTACTTTTTTTAAAATAACATCTAGCTTCTCAATTTTTTTTTTCACTCTCAAATGGAGTATTGGCGGTTTGGTTTTTGGCACCTTAACCTTTTGTCACAAATGAATGTATTGTTAATCAAAAAACATCGATGAATACCGATAAACCTGAGTTTAGGCAAAATTTGTATCATAATTCCTTGAAATTGATCAGGTGATTGAAGAGCTGATTTCAAACGAGGATTTCCTGGGAAGAGTGCGGAGTCGACTGACTCAATACTCGGAACTCTACCGTCTGCTGAACCTCTGCTCCAGAACTCCAACTTCGTCCGCCTCAGGACAGTGATGAGCATTCAAAGTGTTAAATGACTTACAATTCTGTTTTAGCGAAACATTTGAAGATTATCTTAAGTACCAAATTTTTACTTTAATTATAAAGCTTCAGCCATGTCATATTTTATATGAAAACTTTCTGTTCGCAGAGGGTCAATTTTTGAGCGTAGAATGATACATTAAAAAAGTGAAATCGCAAGGTAATAAATCGCTGTTTGAAGTTTTAATTTGGGGAGCGAAACTTCTTTAAACATACGGCTTAAGTACAAAAATTCACGGCTAATAATGAACGAGTATGAAAACTTGAACGACCATCACTCTCTCAGGGGATCAATGGGAGGAGCAATTGAATGGGAAACTGATTGTACACTTCCTCCAACTGAAGGCTTGCCTAGAGGCTATTCCGTCTCTCCTCGACTACATCAAATGCGGAAAATCCAACATTTTCCAGGTTAATACAAACTATCACGTAAGTAGTATATGAGTGAGGGAGAGTGGGGGGATGGGGGGGGGGGGGCGTGGGTGGTGACCTCCATGTATTAAGATAGGCTATAGAGTATCCGGTCACCAACCTATGTATTAAGATAGGGAATAGATTTCCTATGTATTAAGATAGGGAATAGGTTTCCCAATGTATTAAGATGGTAAGGTTTCAGATGGTAAGTTTCAGAAAAATTTTTGGCGCCCGAATTTTTTGAGCTCGATTTTGCCAATACTTGCGTTTCTTAGTCATTTTCTACGATTTGTGATATGTAAGGACTATCTCGTCTTGCAAAAATTCGGTATGGTAAGTTTCAGAAGGTAAGTTTCAGAAAATTTTTTGAAAATTTTTTAAGTTTTACTTGCAAATACATTTTTATCTTGAAAAAACAATTTTATATTAAAAAACTAAAAAAATTTTTTGGATGGTAAGTTTCGACGAAAATTAAGTTTCGATTTAGAGTATGGGATCATAAACTAATATATCACAGAATATTTTTTTTCTCGAAAGAATCTTTTAAATTCTTATTTCGTGTTATTTATTTTCCCTCAGGTTATCTGGGGAAAATTGTCAAGAGGGGATTATCTTTGACAGGTTAGTTATTCCGCTCCACGAGATATCAGGGGAATCTGGACAGCTCCTCACGGTTGATTACTTTTATATCCTACTTAATCTTTTTTCCCCAGGTTATCTGGAGAACGGATGACAGGTTCATTACACTTGTTAATTTTATGACTTATTTTATCTTTTTTCACATAATTATCTCACTTATTTTTACCTCAACTGGTTTATTTATTCTGTCATATTTCTTGCTACGATTCATTTCAGTTCTCTTTTATCACTTTGTTTTTAATCTTTAAAAAATTCTCTGAAATTTCCAAATTTTCCAAAAAATTCTTTGAAATTTCCAAATTTTCCAAAAAATTATCATCCAAATTTATCAATTGCTCTGCCACGGTAAAAGTTAACACTGAGAAAAACATAGTATCATATTTTTTTTGGATCTGATATTTTTGTGTAATAATTTTTCCATCTTTCTCAGAGTAAACTTTTAAGAAAATTATACAATTTACTAGAAGTTGGTTACAATTTTCGTAAATTTATCTACTCTATCGTTAATTCTTTCAATTGGGGGACTACAACATCCATATTTCATCATCATTCTCCGTATTTCATCAAAGGGTTAGTTGCTAAGATGCTTTTCGTAAAAAAAATTTAAGGAATTTAAAAAGTTCAATTACATAAATAATCAACTAATAAATACTTGATTCCATGGTTTTGACTAGCTAACTTGTCTACAAAAGCCAAGTCCATACACCAGATTTCATTGATATATTTAGAAACGCTTGAAGTCTTCGGAAAGACCTGATTGGTGGACCAAATTTTGTATACGATGTCTTGGTTTGTAAAAACTTTTCTACTTTCTTTTTTGATAAACCACTCGCTTTACTCAAGTTTTGAATAGAACCGTACGCAGCTCTGCCCCTAGAATACAATCTGTTTAGTCTTACCTTTTCAGATTTTGAAAGGGATCCAAGTTCCTCTATCTTTTTCTTTGGCATTCTTGTTAATAACAAGTTTAGGCGAAAGTTGAGTTGCTTCCAAAATAGTAAAGTAAATATCTGGAAAATCGGTATTTTTTCGCTTTAGTGTACACACAAAGTCTACAATAGATTCTTTTGTATCTCGATTATCTAATATAATATTGTCTGACTGGCTGAGTTTAATTCTAGGAGAATTCAAAATTAAATCAATAATATGCTTATTTTTGCTCGTTTTCAACCTCGCATTTACAGCACTGTAAACAGAATCAAAATTTTTGGTACAATCTCCTCTTTTTCTTGCTTTTGTTCCAATTTTTGTTTTGTTGGAAGTGTACTTTGTGATTGATAAACTGAGTACGGAATTAATTACAACAAACTGTTCCATACTATGTCAATCGTTTAATGACAAAAGGGGTGATTATAGATATCAATTGTAACCCTCTAGTTGAACTTAAAATAATTCTTCTTTTGTGTAGAGGAGTTCTTTTTTGTGTTAGTTCTGAAATTTCTTTTCGATATTTTACTACGTCTTCTTTCCGAAGATCACTAAGCTCCCCTCTTAATAGGTTTACTAAACACTCGCTCAGAAACTGAATGAAATCTTTTGGGCAATTGAGAATGAATTGTTTTCGAAGCCTTAGGGAAATTTTTTGAAATATTGGGAGAATAGAGACGTATTGTGTACTCATCGTCCAAAAACTTTGTCTCTATTCCAGCTGGTAAGTAAAATTTTGTTGGAACTGAGCCACTATTAGTGCTATACTTAAGTGAATCAACTGTTTTTGGGGTTAAATTAATAAGTAAATGACCAAAAGGAACGGATGTTGCATCTTGATACCACTCTTTCAATTTAGATCCTAGACCTAGTTGTTGACTTAATGTATTGATTTGTAAAACATCCCTGGGCGACTTGAACAAGACTATATGTGTATTTTGTAACTCTACATCTCGTCCTAATTTGCTTTGATGAAATAAATTGTGTTTGATGTATATTGTATTCAGACCCCTGTGTCTCCCCGCAGTACCAATTTTTACAAATTGTTTGGAGTTTGAAATTTCTTCACAAGAATCATCAAATATAAGCAAATACTTAGTTCCATTATTGGGGAGATTTTCAATCAAGTCAAAATCTACTCCTTGGATAAATTTAAGGTTTTTTCTTTGCATTTGACTATAAAGAGGTTGATAATGTTGATAAAAATAAAATATTTTGTCGAAAGTTGGTTGAAAAGTACCAATTTTCAACCAATCAAAAATAAGATGCGATTTTCCAGATCCACTTGGTCCAACTAGGGAAATAAAAATTCGTTCTTTGGTAGATATTATTTTATTCATAGCTTTGGAGAAGGTAGAATATAACCGACTGTACTTGATAAAATAGCTACCCAAACTGTTGTTTCTTCACATGTTGTGGATAACATAGTTCGAACGATTGCACATACTAGCATCAAAACTATAACAAAAAATTGGCACAAAAAAACTAAAAGAGATCTATTACATGTACGTCCAAACAATTTGCATGATTTTCGTTCATGATTTTCTTCATCAAAAACAAAATTTACGGGCTTGTCACATTGATCGACCATCTTAACTCTAAAAAGAAAAAGTTGACAATGAAATTTAATTAAAGTTTGAAAAAGGTAGTACATTAAGAATAATATAATTTACAATTTGTTAAAAAAACATCGAGTCCATGTTCCGTATGCAAATGCTTTTCTTTCTGCACAGTGAAGAGTTTTTGCATGACGAAATGGGTAGTTGCTACACCTCCAATCATATTCTTCATCTTTGAATATCAAAAACTGAACTTTAGGGCAAGCGTAGTCATCCAAATTAATAATCTTTGTTTCCAAAAATTCTGATAGAATCTTACATTTTTCATAACCTTTTGCAAAAAATTCCGTGTCTGTGGCTTCTAGATTTTTCAAAATTTTTTCAAGTTCAGTATACTTTTCGTAACCACTGCTCCAATTGATTCCATGAAGATGCTCTGTACACCAAAAACATTGGGATGTTGGTTTGAATTTTTTGGGAGGAAGAAAGGAATATCCTTCTGTTTGTCCATCCTTATAAACTCCTAATTCTTTCACTATATTGCTTTCAATACATTCAATATCCAAAACAACTAGACTCATTCTGTTAATTGATTTCTCTGAAGTTTTTTGTTTAAAAATGATTAACAATCAAACAATGCATATACTGATGAAGCAAATATTTTAACATATAAACAGAAAAATAATCCAGTCACGTGACCAAGAAAGCATGAACTGGGGAGACTAGGTGCAACATAACAATACCCAAGACCTTTTTTTGTAGTAGATTTCACAGATCCAGCAGAGTCATGTAGAATTGCATGTAGTCTAAAAATTTTGGAGTTTGCAAGAAAGTAATCCATACAGGAATTTCCGTATCCAATTAGTCCTCCAAAAGGAAATTTTTGGTTCATTTCTTTTAAATTTATGTCCGGGTCCAAAACAATACAGGTACAAAGAAATAATTTTTTTCTTTTTGTATTTGATGAGAAATCTTGCCTAATAATCTCAAAAACTCTTCGAATTTCATTCAATTTCTGTACATTCATTTTCTACAGTGCATTCGTCAATAATGATACAAGATTTTTGGAAGGTCTCTACATAACCTAGTAATGAAGGAAGCATATCAAGTAATTTATCATATTCTTCTCTTTGTAGTTGTAAAGATTGATTATCTTTCCATTGATTTCCATTTCTACGATATTCTACAAGATCTATTTTTTTGGTATCAGATCGGTATCCTATGTGAATTTTTCTTCTACCATTATACAGAGTCCACTCAAAGTGAGATATTTGTGAGTCTACCTCCAAATTTTGCAAGTTTGGTAAATTTTGAGATTCTATAATTGTTAGTGAAATTTTTTGGGACTTTTCTTCTAGAACAATATAAAAAAGTCCCAATTTATTGTGAAGTTTTACGAGTAAATTTCTTGAAAAACCAATATTCCAACTCATGCTGTTCAACACCAATACTAAATGAAAAATGATTTTGAGGATAAATTGTTAAATTACAAGACAAAAACATAAATAACACAAATTATTGTACATTACAGTTCTAAACAAACATAAAGTCTCCCAAAATTTGGGACAGTTCTTTGAATTCGTTCAAAGTATAGTTGACATAGGCAACTTGTTTCATTGCTTCATTCTCTTTTGCGGTGAACAGTCGAATCTGAATGTAGGGAGGTTTTTTAATATTGTACCTCTTGATCGTGACACAAACTTGTCTTCTATTGTATGTTGATATGTCATACACTTTGTTGCAGTTGGCAAGCTCCTGATCCATAGTTGACTCTTTGTCAGAAGTGAGTTCCAATATAGGAATGAGTCCAAGGTTTTCAGCAGCGTGAATAACAGTATTTCTAATTGCTGAGATTGCTCTTCCTTCTTTTTC